CAAAATTTTACGTGTTTCAAATATTTATCGTATTAAACAAGGTAAAATGAATTTTTATAATTAAAAAATAATAATTGTAAATGGTTTACTGTTATTTTTTAAGAGTATATTTTTTTAAGATATTGGTACTTATAGTACTTATAACAGCACATATTTGAGTATTTTTTATTACTATATAAAATCTGGTCTTTGATTATTACTTATTAGGTACTCATTATATTTATGATTTATTATTTAAGTATTTACTTCTACAAACATGGGCTGGGGCAATAGCCAATAATTATGATACATCATAAATAGTTTTCTTCAATATAAATAACCATATTATATCATATTATATTAAATCATTATATATTATGCATACAAATTACAAATATTTAATATTGCAGAAAGTTCAATAATTTTATATAGATATTTCAAAATTATTTTGTATACTTGGATACTTAATTTTTTTTTTTGTGCGTATTAAATGAATTGTTATGAAATATTTCGCTGATAAAATATATTAACTCAATAAATATTATCGTAATTAAACATTAAAATTCATAAAAATAATTTTATTTACATCTACGTAATTATGTTTTCAGATTGTGACATTGAATAGTAATAGGTACAAATAAAAAATTATATATAGAGTAAGCTGAAAGAAATTACAAATTTTCAAAATTCTGAATAGAAACAATGAGAATAAATTTAAATTTATATAGATTTATAAATTATAATAGGAATATTTAAGCAGATATGACTTAAAAAAAGAAACAGTATACAAAATAAAGTTGAAGATTTAATATATTATATATTATATTCTTGGCTTTGCTTAATCAACTTTGTAATGTGAAAACAATCGTTTTCAAGTTTAATATGGTAATAAGTCTGCTATAATAATAAATTAGTAGGCGTCATAAGATGCTCATTTCGCCGCTAAGTTTATTTTGTTTAATTTAATAGGTCATCTTTTGAGTTATGACCACTGAAAAGATAAATTCTTAAGTATGTATAACAAAAACGATTACAGTTTCCTTAATGAGCTATAGTTATACACGTACATATTTAATTCAAACATGAAGGTGGTGTTAAATTTTTAACCTTAGTCCTTAACCTATTATGATAAAATTTGTTATTAGTTATTACTTTTAATTGTATTTTTAACTATCATTACCTTATTTGTAAACTTTAGAATTTCCAATAATAAATTAATATTATAAAAGATGGAAAGTACAAAGGCGGTTAATTCTGTGGAAAGCATTATAAAGGAACAATTTGTAAGTAGTAGAATATTTAAATATTGCTGGTACAGCGAAATATAGCTATAATAAAAGTATAAGTACATATAAGGAAAATAAGCCTCGTCTCATTTATCTAGTCGGATGGCTCATACTTGTGTGGGAAGGGATTTACATTTTACATAAACGTACACATTAAATGTTCTGTTACTATGTTCATGTGAGGTGCACACTTTACGCATACATTAAGCACACAATTCGGTTATTGGGAATGTTACGGCTAGCATGAATATTGACGAGTTAAATTGTTTAAAAACCCTAACAGATTTATCAACTTCAACTGTAATATGTACTCCAATAATAAACTTTTTTAATCATTCATGAGAATAGATAATAGTTACATTATACCATTTAAGTGTTAATGATTTTTTTTAAAATAAATATTTGTCAGTATATGTGTTATGACTCATGACCTACGAAGACGATCAACGTGAACAATAAAATGCACAGCCATCAGGTTCGATGTGAATATCATTATATTATTATATTTTAGTCCGCCGTAGAACGCGGCTTGAGCATTTCAATTGGATATTGGTATAGCGTTAAACGTGTGGTGCGTAATAAATGGTTCGATTTATTTTTCGTCTAAATCATTTTTATTTTACAATCTATATCTAGAGACTTTAGTGCGTGATTCATATTTGCGGACAAGTCACGTATTACGATATATTGCGATATACCTATAATAGTAATTCAACACACCCAACACTGCATATATATTATGTATATATTAGTGGGATCCCTGAGAATTAATAGTTTATGTGCAAAACATAACTGAAAAAATTATAATTTTTATATTTAACTTAACTATAGGTCGATTCTATTTTTTTTTTTTTTTTACCTTTAACACCTTGAAGTTATACTTAGTTATATACACACGTTATAAATTAAATTATCTATTATTAATTTAACTATACTGTTTCATATTTCATTTTAACTATAGTCCTAGCTAAAAAAAAAAAAGAAGGAAGTAGATAACCGCTGTGCTCTACCAGTATATTGTGTTGAGTATACATACCGTCATCGAGCAAGTCACTGTATAATGTACGTGTTGAAATTGAATCCAATGACAAATCATTACATACAAAAAACGATTCTGAGCGAAGGCGGTAATTACCGAGTATAATAGGTTTTATGTTATATTAATGTAACTATTATATAGTAATATGGTAAGTTAAATACATGTTTGTTAAAAAAATTTCAAAATGTTATTGTATAATAAATATTACAAGTTTTAAGTTACTGTGAATAAAATATTAATTTAAAAAAAATTATATTCTTCCTGATTATTTTGAAAACTACAGAGAGTTTTTAAATTAATCTTCTAAGACATAAACTGAATCCAATTTTCTATCAAAAACCACCTTCAAAATTTCCTAATAGAAAAAAACATCTTTAGGCACACAATTCAAAAGAAAACATTACAGTACAATAAATTCATTCATAGCTACGCTCGGAATTGAAAATACTGAAAAATGAATTAAGTATACTAATAAAACATAACTAAACTGTATCTATACAAAATAAAGAGCCTGTATGATGCGATTGCCCGAAGCGACGAAAAGACACCCACTACAAAAGCTATTGTAGCCTGTAGGCACTTAAGGTACCTACTATTTATTTTTTTTTATTGGAGCTAATACACTTTATTAATACTATCAGATTTATTTTCATTCTCTTCAAATCATGCTTTAATCTGATTTTTAAAAGATATATTACTGTTAGGAATAGCCGAATACTTCGATTTTTTCGTGGAGGGGTTGACGGAAATGGTACCTATAGAGGTGAATACGTTTATGATGTGCTCAAGTATTTATTAGTTTGATATCAAACGACGTTATCGGAAATATCAAATTAATATTATCATTTAAATGTTGGAATAAAAATTTTTAAGCTATCCTCGAACACAAAACTTCCATACAATATTTTTTCGCTTTCATTAACAACGTGTACTAGCGATTCGGCTAAATCGATAAAACATTATATCAATTTATAGTAGAACTTTGATTATCCGTGATAATGGTGGGGAGAGGGTTACATGGATAAATGGAAACCGTGTGACTTTATATTTATTTATTTAACAATGTTATAAAGTCATATAACAGGGCTTAAAATATGAAATAATTTTCCTTTCTTTGCTTCTTATTTTTCTTAAATTCATGACGGCATGGAAGTCAACATTACCCTGTTCACAGAAGTTTAAAAGAATGTAGACTGCTTACATTGCTTATGACTTGTCTGAATTTTTCTTCACAACTGTCGTCATTGTCACCCTTAATGACTTCGTAGTCGAATGGTACAATACTGCGTATTCTGCCATAACGTGCCTTCACATCACTGTCACTTAGTCGTTCAAATCTCTCTTCATTAACATCTTTTTGTAGCCAATCAACAATATCGTTTTTATCAACTTATTCACATATTATATGACACAGTCTACACATGGTTTAATTAAATATTATTGTCTATCGTTCTTAACCTACGTACAATATAATATTATGTAGGTACTGTTCACGAGCCTACTTCTTTACTTTTGGTATACATACCTAAAATTTTCGGAAGACGTAGCACAATCAATCGCGGGGGAATGGTAAACTACTACAAATATAATGTAATCTCCTACATAGACATAGTGTTAACTCCTACAAAAGATGATAAAAAAGGATACCGCTTATACCACTGTAAAAATATATCAGTGTAGTAATATATCAATACATAATATTATATAAAAATATAAACTTAAAAGTTAAAACAAAAATTGTTTTATGAAATATTTTGGAGATAAACTTTAAACAATTTCTCCGTATATATATTTAATTTTTTGCGTAAGTATAAATTCATATTTTAAAATTATTTTTGTCTGCATAGTGTCGATACCGTACTAATAACTATCGCCGATCTATTAACATTTTATATTGAAATGCCGATATGAACCTATAATATAATATATTTAGTATGGATATAACCAGCCTTCAAGAATCATCATACATCGTATACACACGCTTTATTCAGATTTATTGTATTTTATATATTTATATTACTTTCAAGTTATGATCATTTATAAATTTTCGAGCTTTTCAACTTCAAAATCGTGAATTCAAATCATATCACCCAATATTTTTTCAGGTAAAAATGTAAAAAAGTTATTGATGTAGGAGTTAACATTTAATGACGATTCAGGTAAAAAGCTTATTCGTGTAGGAGTTTACGTTTGGCCCAAGTCGCGAACACGGATAATCGAGGTTCTACTGTACAAGCATATTAGGGTACCTACGATCGTCCGACTTGTGATAGCCGCAATTGTACGTTCATCAAGTTAGTACTTCAGCCGACCGATTCGGGTTCTACTACTTCTACTGCCGGTTAGAATAAGGCCTGCAGACGAACGACCAGAACGACTGGTCGTTCCCGGGCATGGCCCTGTTTCCCAGTGGCGACCACGAGCGAATGTTTCAATCTTACAATATTATTATTATTATTATTTTATTTACCCACGTCCCACAGGCAACAATATTATATTATTATTATTATTATAATGTTTTGTAAGCCGAGCACGACGGTTGGACGCGCGTTATTATCGTTGTAAAAATTTAAAAAAATATTATTACGACGTCCGCAGCATAGGTCTCGGTCGACTGGCGGGCGCGTTGGCAACACTGTTATTCCCGCCAAACTGGTGGTGTGCCGCCGCCAGTCGCCACCGGTGTCAGTCGCGTTCCTGCACACACGCCACGGTGGACTTCGAAAACCGTAAACGTTGTGACTGTCGTCCCGTCGTGCTACCGGCGACTGATTATAGGAGTTTAAGTCGCCAATTCTATTGATCGTTTATCATCTCAACACCGGCTACAACGTCACAATAATATCGTCGAACAGTTTTGCGGTACAAATCGAATCGTTAATCGTTATTCTTCTCGCACGTCCGTTTTTCGTCCTCCGTTTCCGTACTCGCGAGTCTTTCGCCGTCTGCACCACATACCCACGACACGGCGTGCTTGCCAGCCAGCCGTTGGTGGTCCGTCAGATGTGCATCGCTGCGGAGTGACGACCAAGACAATGGCGCAAGAACACAAAAACAACGGTCAGATCGTTGAGATGCAAGACAAACCGGACGGTTGTCTGTCGCCGGCCGACGAGGAACGCGAACCCTGCCTGAAGGCTTCCGACTCGGCGCCGGCCACCGAAAAGAACAACGGCACCTTGGCCGCGCCGCCGCCGCCACAGCCCGTGGACAACAACAACGGCACCAGCAACGGAAAGTTCTACGCGTTCGCGGCCGCCACCAATCTGGAAGAGAAGTTCCGGGCCAAGACCGGCTTCTCCAGGACGGGGCTGGCCGTGGCCGTGGCCGCGTTGCTCGTGTGCATCGTCCTGTTCGTCACGGTGGTCGTGCTGGTCTTCATGTGGCCGTCACCGCCGCGCAACTTCCCTATCTGCCGGAGGGCCGCCTGTCTCCGAGCTTCGGCCGAGGTGAGTTATTCGACGTCGATAACTTGATTAATAATATTATCTAATAACGCGTATGCAAAACCAAGTGACATCGATACGGTCGAGGGTTGTACTGCGTCCATCGTAATACTCTTGTTCTGTTTCGGGGGTCGATCGGTAGAAAAATACAGAAATAATACCCCCCCTCCCCGCGCGCAAAAAGGGATCGTTTGAAAAATCTCGTATTCGACGGAATTTTTTACTATCTCATCGACCCGAGCATAAATGCACAATTCAGCATCTATCGGCGGTAAGAATTTTTTCAGAGTAATTTTATCGGATCGAGTGGAAAAAAAAAACGCTTTTAAAAACTCCTGACGAACAGATTTTTTTTTTAATGTTATCATCATGTGGTATGTCGTATGTGATCTCGTACTGTTACATAATAACACAGTTTTTATGAGTCTCGAGTAGAGGTAATTTTTTTTCTGTTTTAGGTTTGCATTTTTCTCGAGTTCATGTTCATTGTTAGTCTAGGTATATTATTATTTATTCTTGCACCGGTGGATGGTCGCGCACTTAATATTATTTACTGTAAAATGTAAATTCTATGTTAATTTCTCGGGCTGCTTGATGGCGACACGGTCGGTCGCGCTCAGTGTTCTTGTTCGGGAACACTTGTAGCAGAGGAAATGTTTTTTCTCATCGAACATCGCGTCCGGATAAAACCATGGGCATTTCATACACGTGATCGCGACGAGTAAAATTTAAAAGGTTTTTTTTCACGAATATCCAGTTCGCCGGACGAGACGATATCGAATCAAAGAGCTATTAATTGTAAAACGTATTTTGCAGTGTACGAATGTCTCATTTATACGCGCGCACGTATTATGCTGATATGTGTATTTAACAATACGAAATTCTCTCTGGACTTATACCGGTCTACCACGCATGGATCCGATATCGGTTCACGTGCAGGGTAGTGGGTACGACCTTTATAGAGCGCAAAAAGACAACGCTGCGGCGCATTCCGGGAACGCGTGTGTATATAATAATACGTTTGTTGTGTCGAAACGTCGAAGAAAACGTCCGTAAATGGCGTCGGTGGTGGCGGTAACAACCCCTCTCGGATCGACACAAAAGACCGCCGCCGCCGCCACAGGACCCGTCAGCATGCTGCACACCGATCGCTGCAGGTATATAAAAAGGGTCGGACGTAGGTTTATTTTTTTTCCGTTCGTCTTTCCCGTGTCCGCCATCGGTTTTTATGATCGTCGTAAAAACTACCTACCACCGGCCGGTCGGCTGTAATATTATTGCTGTATGCCCGTGTTATTGAATTAGAATTTCACACCGACGACGTACATACGCATTATTATAATATAGTATTATGTATGCCGTGTACAATATGCGCGATGTAGCCGCCATTTGGTCGCCCGATCGCGTTGTACGGTATATTATGGTGTGTTGTAAATTATAATATTATGCGCGTATTTCGTAGACCAATATTGTCGAAACACTGACAGAGTTAAGGTAATATTATTTTGTACGTTGGAAATTCTATTATTCGAGAATTAAATTCTGAGCGCGTTACTCCGATCGAACGTTAAAAAAATAATTCCTTCGACCTATCCAAGTATAATACTAGACGGGCAGGTTACAATCTATTATAAGCCCCTCTGTGTCTGTGTGCCGCGCGTACTACGGTTTCCGCTCGATTACGCTTCCGATCGGCCGAATCCTTATGTTATTTGCGATTCGCTCGCGTTGTACTTACATGTTATTATTGTGTCCCATCGCGGTTGTTCCGGTAATGCGATATCGCGCCGTATGTCTGCACACGCGGTCTTTGAAAACGGCTCGCAGGATGTTGTTGTCGCCGTGCAGTGGAATATATGTTTTACAGCTGCAGGTGTTTACGGAGAACGAAGAATAATATTTTGGTCTGTATATACATTATAATAATAATATGCATCTCAATGTACTGGCATACGTATATTATTGTTATTATTATTGCATTCGATATTTGCCACTCGCGTACATTTCCACGGATCTGCTGTAGCGTGCACAAATTTTTCTCTTTCGATTACACGCATAATATGGATATTTCATTGGCTTATTGGAACTTTCTGTATTCTCGTAAAATATAACCATGACTGTACCGGTGGTTCGTTTTATCGGTCAAATCAAATTCAGTCATGTCCGCAGTGTAATACCTATGTTACGTACGGTGGAGTTTAATGTAAACAATATTATTCAAAACCTGTTGAATAATTTTAGATGATCTGTCAACCTTTTTTTTATAGGTAGGTAGAGGTATTAATTATACGTCTCTACGAACTACGAATAATAAAAGGTTTTTTTTATTTGTTTTTGTATTTGTGTTAAGTTTCACACGAAGACATTGAGTATATTGTACCCGGACATTGCTGGCACGTCGGTTTATTATTTTACGTAGATACTTCTGTAAACATTCCAAAAAGGTTCTTTTCATTTTATTTTGTTGTCCGACATTTATTCAGACAATAAAATATACAGAAATGCTAGGATAATTTTTTCCAAAACTAATTCGATATTACGTTCACTTCACGAGTCGAAAACATAAAGTGTAAATCACATTAAATAGATTATATAGATATTATTATAGGCTGTTTATATATTAAAAGTACACACATTATGTACGATATTGTCAGATACATGTGGCGTAATTGAGAGAAGCACGCACATTTCAATGTCATTATTCCAGACGTTTGATATATTCCGTTTGTTGTATTTAAATGTCTTGTAAGTCATTCATATGGTCTAGGACAGATTTAATGAACGAACAAAATTATCATTGGTATAATCGGCAGACGTTTCCAATCAAAGACACGTGTCTGTTGTTTATATAGTGTAGAGGTACTTAATACATATATATATATATATATATTTACATATTTCGATGCATTTTGTGTTTTATGGATCGTTGTCACTGTAATATTTATTCAAACTTTCGCGATTTGAGTATCCATATTCTGTCTTCTAAGATTTTAATAACATGACATTTAATTCTGCGTTGGCATAGATTGATGGGTTATTACTTATACCTAGACTAATATTCGTTATTTTGTAGGTAGCTCTTTTAATTACTGATCGCAATCCCGAAGCTATTTTTGGCGTCTTTTTACGGACACAAGTTAGTTGAATAATATTAATTCTGCAAGATATTATCTTTCATAGAAATGACGTATCTACGCCCACTGGCTAAGGTGTGGACTTTGCGCGCGCTGTGTACGGATTTCGCGTTATTCATATACGAAGAAATAAAACATATAAAAATAGTATTTCTTTAAGTATAATACAGATACGGTTATTTTAATAAATTACAACACACCTCTAAAGCAATTAAATTATGTATATATAAAAATCTATATTATAACAGTAGTCAGTAATTATTAGGTATTTATTATTATTTATTACACTGATTCATTATATTATTACACAATATAATTTGGTAATAAATAATAATAAAATTATTTTTATGTTCGTTGAAAATTTAATTTAACCCGAAGTAAAATATAGTTTTTTTGTATAGGTATAAGTTTTATTTTATAATTTTTTTCAATAAAAGGTTTATTAAAAATATCTCACGTCATCACCCATCGATACCTCTATTCTATCCTGTTGGACGTGTTAAAATATTATTTTTTTATACAATAACGATCTAAATTATCTGCTATTGGACCGTCATCAATACATCAGTCAATGTTTTAAAAATCTCGAATGATAAACGTACATTATATACCATGTATGTATTTTACCGGTGTATAATATTTAAGTCTAATGTATAGACGTAAGTATACAAATTTATTATTAGTAATAATATTATTATCGTCAGTTAGGGTGCAATAAGGAGTACTAAATATCTTTTATATTTATGTCATAATTTTTTAACACTGAGTCGACATATTTTTAAGATTAATATGATAATCATCATTAAAATATTTCTTAATAACCATGCGGGGGCTATCCATAAGTCATAACGCTTTGACAATTGTTTTTTTTATTTTTTTTAGTCGTGAATAGTTAGGCGATAAATACAAAATTCAAAACAAATTATCTTGCATGTCAAACAATACCCCTATCAAAATGCACTTAATAATATGAAAAAATATAATATGATATATTATGATGTGTGTGTATTAATATAATATATTGATAATATAATGCATGGTTAGACAACGCTATTGTGCAGTATTTCATCACATTTTCGTCGATTAATAAAAATACAAAATCGTTTAACGTATATTGGTTTATGAAAGAAGCAGACTGTGGGGCAGTAATGATTGTTATTATTTATTAATTTCAATTTATGTTTCGCTAAAACCCGTATACGATTCCCAATGTGTCAATACACATACGATATACAATTTATTTAAAAAAAATTATCATAAAATAATCTACCTATTAGTGCTGTAAATTGTTAGTCCTGAAGTCACTAAGTGCAACGAAGTTATTTTTTTTTATATTTTTACCTTGGGGTTAATAATTGTTGCAATTTTGGTTATCCTAATTTTATTGTATATTCATAGGGTTTCTGTCGTTTTCCTACTTATGGATCTCGTTTGATGTAAAATAAGTTTTTGAAATTTAGTATAATAATTATATTGATCCACGTGAAAATACACTGGTGACTTCTGCAGTACATATTAGAATATTTAAAAGTAAATTATAACATATGATTTAAAGTTCTATCAACTGTACTTTAAGTAAAATAAAATCATAACGATCTATGATACTGGCGAATGAGGTGAATATAGGAACTCTGATTCGTAAAAAAATTAATAATTTTAATCACGTGATATATTATTTATTCTGCACATCTGGTGAAAATGCATCATGCTGTCGAATAAGACCTATCCGGTGTCGTGACTAACTTTTCCACTTTGCGCGGTGATGCCGTATCGTGTAACCAACACTAAATGACATAAAGTAATTTTTTTATTTGTATTTGTTAAATATGTATTATGCTGCAAAAAGAATCATTAGTAAAATCTATCATA